TAATGATTCAGTCTCTATTACTTTGGATCAGGGAGCGTTCATATCAAAACAAAGTAAAGAGGACTTCAGAGTCCAACAACTTTACGGTGGCAAGATCAGCTATTGAATGGCGAAAAATTCTTTCTGTTTGTCTACAGACGACAATGAGTTATTCCGCATCCTTAATTATGTAGAGATCTTCGAGTCGATTACAAAAGAAATCCTCAAGGTAAACAAGGTTACCGCTTATGTAATGCTCAAGCTCATCTTAGAAGTTGTTTGAGCGTTTTAAAATGCGGTTTATAAAACCAATGTCAAGGCGATTGGAAAGTCCAACGGGGAGCAAGAGAAAAAAATCAGTAGGCGAAGGCCTACTCTGTCCCATAAATCACTCATATTTTTCGCCCAACCTCAAGAATCGTCGTCGGTCGAAATGTTACTGCAGGTCTACAACAAATAATATGGTGGAAAGGTGATTGAAAAGCGATAATTAATGCTGCATATTGCAGTAGGTCTTCTTTATTAATTCGCATGGTGAAAGGACGCTTAAGAAATATTGACATTCCAAACTGAATTAACAAACCACTGGCACTAGGTTAGCGAACGATCCTTTGGTTATTGAGGCAAACATAAGTTTAACTAATTCATCCAATAGTCTAATCCAGCTTACCATCCTTTGGGATTCATCCAAAGGAGATGCCTCATAAGAGGCTGGCTTGGCATCCTAAAATATCCTTGCTTCTCATTTGAACAGCAGAATAACAAAGGCTATGATGATGTTAACTTGGAGCCTACACCACCAAATACATAGTTGCCATGGCGTCAAAAATGACAGTTAAGACGCATAATCTAGTTTGGGCTATCCCAATTCCCAAAAAGAAATTTTAACGCAACAGTAGGAACCTTAGTGACAACTGATACTGTGCCAATCAAGAGAACGTAGAAAAGGAACTTTGACGCCGGTCAAAAATAAACGAGCGCTACTCCATGTCGCGGGGATGTCTGTAAACCTTGTGAGAATATCAAATGAGGAAAAGAAACTCACCTATTGTTATGTATATGCTCGTAAAAGCCACTCCAGCGTGCAATGAGGAGAACAAGATTGCGTCGAGTCGCAGGAGGCAAGAGTCGCTGTCTACGCTCACCTAGAAACAAAGCAAATTTCCCAACATTTCCAGCAGATGTATCATGGCAATCATTTCAAACACACTTATCGTTTTTCCGGTCAAGCACTTTCAACAGCTTCCTTTAAAAAATGCAAACCATCCAGTCTGCAAATCCAAAGTATCAACCACTAACAAAAACAGAGACAATCAACTTAAATCAAAGAAAGTGGACTTTGGCACCACTTTTTACTATAAACGCTTTACCACCATAGAAGTAAAGCAAAAAACCCTGTTTTTTGGTGAGTTTCAACAGCGTGATCACTACAACTGTCTCCAAAGTCCTCACGATCTATCAAAGAACTGCCTTCCATGAACTTTTAAAATTTGAATGACCTGTTTCAGGCCCGATTTTTACCGCATGCGAAAGGCAGCTTAGCCGTCAATCAATTTATACTCAAGTCGAATTTCTGTCGGAAACGAAATCGGTATTCGATTAAAATACCGTCTCACTGCCTACTCTCTACCACAAAACCAGGTAATCAGTTTGGTAAGGTTTACCCCACCTTACTTATAATGAAGGAAAAACTCAAGGCAATCGCATTCGTTCAATCACATCAGATGTCCAAATAGTCAATAACTTTCCACATTCAAAAGCATCAAGCCCTACATGGAATGAATGGTGAGTAGGGAGGACGAACTGTCATAACCCCTTCCTTTCTGTCCCCGAGCAAGTTGTACAGTGTTCTGCGCCAGGCATTACCATTTTGAGAGAAAAATTTCTCCATTAACATACTAAAGAATTACGCTTGGGAATTCACCTCAATCAAAATATCATTCGTTGGTGGTAAGTGAAAACCAGATAAAGTAGAATTTGCAAAAAAAGAGGAAAAAACAACTTACGTGGCAAGTGCCGAATGAGATCCCTTATAAAAACACAAAAGTAAAGCCTCATCTCAGTCAGCACCATTGGATCCACCCCCGTAGGCGCATGCGCAGGTGCTGCAGAGGCAGCAGCAGTTGCTGAGGGTGTGGTGGCAGCAGCAGCCACTGAAGGATTCTGCACAGAACCCCCACTCACACCCGCAGGTCCGCCACCAGCTCCGATACCTCCGCTGCCGCTGCCACTCCCGCCGGCACCACCGCTAGCGCCACCAACAACAGTGGAGGCTGGTGCACCAGATACACCGCAAGTCGCGACTGCTCCGACCATTAGTCCACTGCCAGGAGACGTACCGACTGGAGAGCTCATGGATGTGGCTACCGCGGCGGTAGTAGCAGATGGGAGGGAGGGGGCAGTCACAGCGGTAACTGAGGTGGAGGGAGCCACAACGGCGGCAGGTCCACCGTGTCCGACGCCAAACGCGGTGGTGGCAGTGGCGGTGCTGCTACTGAACATAGTTACCACCATCGCAGAAGGTTCGTTCAATGATTCCAGGTAGACTCGGGTGCCTTCGATGAATTCCAGTAAAGTGGGCAAAAGGGTACCTTGACCTGAAGTTATTCCAGCTTCACTGAAGAGAAAGCGGTTGGTGGAAATCCTATCAAATTCTCGTCATTCAATCTAATAAAAGTTTAATGTGCAATTTTTGACAAATATAGGTATTACCATTTTATACACTTATTGCAGAAACATATCTGGTCCTATAGCCTGCTGATCTGATGCCTACAAGTAGATAATAGTACAAATACAAATTTCCTGACGTAAACTTGTGAAGAGACATTCGCGGCCGCATTAGAGCCGCATGCATATGTTTAATAGGCCTTTCGAAATTCGGATGCAGATGTGTAAAGCTTTTCCCACATTATTTTGACTCAGGAAGATATGGCTTAGAACAAATACCGGCTAATCATACTCCCTTTGCTTGATATGCTAAATAGAAAATATACAACTTCGCCATGTGAATTAAATAGAACGACTTCATGTTGCGACTAAAATGGTGAGGTTTTCAGTTATACGGCTCGCAAATGACGTTAACAATCAACTTTCACTTTTCAAGCAACTTATGTCGACGGAATCGCCCCTAAATTTGGAAACTATGCGCCCATACGCAACAACAAATGGACAGAAAATAAAGTA